TGATGGTGGTGGTGGTGGTGGTGGTGGTGGTGGTGATGGTGGTGGTGGTGGGGCATGCCTTTCATCTCAGCACTCGGGAGGTAGAGTAATCTCTTTGAGTTTGAGGCCAGCCTGGTCTACACTGTGGGTTTCAGGACAGCCAACCAACCAACCAACCAACCAACCAAAACAAAACAAAACAAACAAACAAAAAACCCAATAAAACAAAACCCAACCAAATTCCATTAATTTTTTTGATGAACATTTCCCCTAATTTAATTCGTTTTTGGTCCATCTCATATATATGAAATATATATAATATGTAGAAAATTCTGATGGCTGTCACCTCACTCTCTCCCATTTTCAACCCACTCCTCTTACTGACTCCCTCACAAACCCATTTCCCACATTTACATCGTTCACTTCTGCTTTGGTTTTGTGACACACTAAGTTTCACCAGGGCCGCCTGTGGGACAAGGGTCGTGAAGTGAGAAGGAAATATCAGGGACCACAGACGCAAAGGTTCTGGAAAGCAAGCCTAGTGAGCTGAAAGTACAGAAGGGGATGATGATGGAGAGCTAGACAAGAACCATCTCACAGGCGTGATGGTGCATGCCGGAGGCAGGAGGATCTCTGTGAGTTCCAGGACAGCCTGGTCTACATAATGAGTTCAAGAGAGCCAGGGCTATTTAGAGAGATGCCGGTTAACAACAACAACAACAAAACAACAATAACAATAGAACAACTTACAAAGGCCTTTGTAAAAACCGAAACTATGGTACAAACAACCAGGGAAAGGGGAGTCGGAAGAGAGAAGACCTTAAGGGCAAAGACAGGCTAGACTAGCGGGTGAGGTAATTTTACTTCATTCTATATTCACTGGGGATTTGAAGAAGGGCTCTGTCCACCGTAAGGCTTTGGACTTGATTTACCATTGAATAAGTGCCCCCCTTGGGAATGGGAAGGATGGGAATCACAAGCTACAATTCTCACTTCATCATCTCTTCCTTCTGGTACTCCATAGGGCTCCTCTCAGGTCCTTAACGCCCTGCCCTTCAGTCCTGAGCCCATGCCACCCTCCTGGGCATCACCTCCCTGGACCAATCAGAGCCGCTCACGTGAGCTGGAGTTCGTGCTGCTGGGCTTCTCACACGTGCCCTCCCTGCGCCCAATGCTTGCAGTGCTCTTCCTGGTTGCCTTCCTGCTCACGTTGCTAGGCAACACGCTCATCTTCATTCTCACCAGCCTGGACCCAGGCCTGCGTGCACCCATGTACTTCTTCCTGCGCCATCTGGCACTGGTGGAGATCTGCTTCTCACTGGACGTTTCTCCCCGTCTGCTGGTGACCCTGCTGCAGCCTGGACGCGGGATGTTCCCCATAAGCTGTGCCCTACAGCTGCTTCTAGTGCTGTCCTTAGTCACATCCGAGTGTTTCCTCCTCACGGTCATGGCCTGGGACCGCTTCCTGGCCATTTGTAGGCCTCTGCGATATGGTGCCATCATGAGCTTGAGGCTGTGCCACCTGCTGGCTGCCGCCTGCTGGCTCACAGGATTACCAATATCTGTGGCCCTCACCATCTGGCTCTTTAACTTCCCATTCTGTGGGCCACGGGGCATCAGGCACTTCTTATGTGATATACCACCTCTGCTGAGCCTGGTGTGTGCAGACACCAGAGTCTTCGAGGCTAGTATGTTCGTTATCACAGTGTTAGTTATCATGGTTCCCTTTAGTCTTATAGCAACGTCCTACATCATGATTCTGGCTGCGGTCCTTCGGATGCCATCAGCGTCTGGGCGCCACAAGGCCCTGTCTACCTGTGCCTCCCACCTCATTGTGGTGATTCTGTTTTATGGCACAACTGGGGTCATCCATTTGCGCCCCAAGGCCAGCTACTCTCCTGAGAGCAAGCAAGTGGTGTCCCTGTCATACACCATTGTGACGCCCATGCTCAACCCTCTCATCTACAGCCTGAGGAACAAGGAGGTCAAGGATGCCTTCCGGCGTGTCTTCATTCAGAGACGAGGAACCTTTATCCCCTGACCTCTATAGACTTCATTTACCCAATCATTTGGAGATCATCTCTACCCAAGTGGTCTTGAGGACCTCGGTGCATGAGTAAGTTAAACCATTTCTTATAATTTTGGTTGTGAGCCTAGCCTTTAATGGCTGACCCATCTCTCCAGCCAAGGATATGGCTCCTTTTTTCTTTCTTTTTTTTCCCTCTTGACTTTAGAGACAAGGTTTCTCTGTGTGTTTGCACCAACTCACTCTGTAACCCTCTCATCTACAGCCTACGGAACAAGGAGGTCAAGGCTGGCCTCGAACTCATAAAGATCAGCTTTCCTCAGCCTCCTGAGTGCTGGGATTAAAGGCGTGTGCTACCAGAGCCCAGCTAAACCCTTTCTAAAAGATTTTATTATTGGGATGGCCCCGCTGAATATGTAGATGACGTAACAACTATCTAATGGCCCCTTGAATAACACCTAAATTTCGACTTGGTCCATGTATTGAGTAGGTAGCATCCTGTTTCTCCACTGCAATAGAAACTGGATTGGAGTACAAAAGCATGGTGATGGCATCATTCCTGGGCAAGTAGAATTGCCCACTGCAGCAAAGAAAAACACATTATAGCAAAGAAAAAAAAAGGTTAAGGTTTAATCTTCTATAAATCAACTAATTTAGGGTATGTTGTGATTTGAGTATGAAATTTGTCCACATGCTCACGTGTTTAAACACTTGGGTCCCCAATGGCGGTGCTCTTTTAGAATTAGTGGAGCCTATAGGAAGTGGAGCCAGGCGAAAGGAAGTGGGTCACTAAATGTCATACCAGACCCCACTTCCTGTTTGCTTCTTGACTGCTGATGAAATGTTTCCTAATCCTGCCACCCCCTTATGTGGCCACAAGGAACTGAACCTCAAATGGTGAGCCAATTGGCCATTAAGAGCACTCATTACTCTTACAGAGGCCTGGGGTTCGATTCCTAGCACCCACCTCAGTGAATTCACTGCCTGTAACTCCAGTTCCAGGGGAATCTTGCGCCCTCTTCTGGCCTCCCTGGGCACTGCACACACATGGTGAACATACATAATGTCCCACAGACATAAAATGCAAATAATAAATATTTTAAAACAACAAAACTGTGAGCCAAAATAGTCTTCCTCCTTAAGTGACTTTTTGTCAGGTATTAGACATGGTGACAAGAAAGGTAACTAATACATGGCATGAGGCTATCCCATCTGAAGTTAAAAATATTCAAACACAAATATTACATTTATGATTTTGTCAATAAAATAGAATAAAATCAGGTTCTAAAAGATTAAAATAAACTATAGTTATGTATTTCATGTAAGACCCATCACATTAAAGGACCAGGTGCTGTGGCACACAGCTTTAATCCCAGCACACAGGAGGCAGATGCAGCTCAGTAATTTGAGGCAAGCCTGATCTATATAGGAGTTGCAGGTCACTTAGGGTTGTAGTGAGACCCTGTGTATAAAAACAAAATAAAACAAAACACAAGGCTGTTAAGATTAGAAAAGGCATCACAACGTGGGTGGCTTTATAGCTTGTCTTTGACATGGGATCAGTAAGGTGTTTGGAGGAACATGGGGTTCACATTCATCTTACTAGGTGACTCTGCCTCTTTTGATTTTTGGTGAAATTTCCTTAAAAAATAATTATTGCATCCCTCTGTCTACCTCTCTGTCTCTGTCTGCATCTCTGTCTCTGTCTCTCTGTGTACACATGGTGCACATGTGGGGTCAGAGGAAAACTTGAGGGAGTCAGTTCTCTCCTCCCACCATCTGTGTCCTTGGGATTCCAACTGAGGTCGTCAGGTTTGGTGGCAAACACCTTTCTCCACTGCGCCATCTCATCGTCCCACAGATTTCCCTTTAAATTGGTTTATATTAGTGTAAAAGGTAACAGGTTTCGTGAAGATCTGTATATATATACACACACATATATATTCACATGTATAGATATATATTCACACCCCTTTATTCTCTCTTGTACCTCCTTCCCTAGACCCTGGTCTCCTTCCTTTCCAAATACTTCCCCTTTTAATTCAACATCTTAAAAAATCTCCATTCGACAAATAAGAGAAAACACATAATATTTGTCTTTCTGATTCTGACTTATTTTCACAATGATCTTCAGTTCTGCCCATTTTTCTGGAAATGACATAATCTTGTTATTTTTTAAAAACTATTATTATTTGCACACAAGTATCAGAACCACCAAGGTCAGAGCCATTGAGAATCCTCTGGAGCTGGAGTTAGAGACAGTTTTGAGGTGCCTGATGTGGGTACTGGGAATTGAACTCAGGTCTTCTGGAGGAGCTATAGAGTTCATGTTGTTAAACTTCTTTTTAAATATTCATGTTTACATCCATACATTTGTCAAGGAACTTTAGGTAAAGGAGCTGCTTGTAGTAGTGGTTAGTGGTTAATGGAGATACTCATTCTTGCTTGTTCTTGGGAACAAGCGACTGAGTGCTCGGCTGCACATGGCACATCATATCAACTCACTTACAAGGCTCAAGATACATCTCTAATAGGAGGAAGAAAGAATGGAAGAGCTGGAGGATGGGGAGGAGTGCTGTGAAATGCTGTCCTCTAGAGGTGACATGACCTGCTGCCCACATGAACTCAAGCAGCTGTGACCACCCTTGCAAGACCAAGCCAGTTAGACATGCCAGCATGAGGAGGGCGGGGCTTATGGAGCTCTACCCTGAGCAGGAGGGAGAATCCCTTTTCTTCCTTTTAAAATATTTATTTTCTTTTATTTTATGTGCATTGATTTTTTTTTGCCATGGATGTCAGATCCCTTGGAACCAGAGTTAAAAAGAGTTGTGAGCTGCCATGTGGGTATTGGGAACTGAACTGAGTCCTCTGGAGGAGCAGTCAGTGCTCTTAACTGCTGAGCCATTTCAGCATCCCGAGAGTCCCCTCTCTTTGGTTTGGCCACTGGAATGTTGTCTAGGCCCCTTGGATGATCTCAGACCCATGAACATATGGGTAGCATTGACTAGATTCAGTGGATTATAAAATAAATATTATAGGAGAAGATGGGATTGGAAAGAAGATGTTGGGACCCGAGAGGAATTGAAATGAGAGGTGAATATGTTTAAGACACATTGTTTATATATACAAAAAAATCTCAAAGAATAAATAAAATTTAAAACAAAAAATCCAATCTGCATTGAGCACATTCAGACTTGTCTTTCTTATATTTTGCAAGCAATACATCCTAAACAATATTATGTAGCCTTTACCTTATATTTGTTATGCAAGACTCGGAGTGATCCATAGAATATACTATCTGATAATAATATAATAGGCTATAGTAGCCTAGTAGGCTATCTGCTAATACTGCCCCAACTGGTGGCAGATTTCTAGAAGTTTGCAGATTTGGGGTTTGGGGTGTTGGGCCTTGAGATTTCTAGCAGATTTGGGGTTTGGGGTATTGGGCCTTGAGATTTGAAGGCCCGATTTACTTCCTGTCTGCTTTTTCCTGACTGCACATGCAATGTGATCAGCTACTTCACGTTCTTGGTGCCATGCCTTCATCACTGTGATGCACAGCCACTCTTCTTAAGCTGTCTGTTGTGTCTTGTCAATTATTTACTCAAAACCAGAAAATTAATCCACTCCCTCACAACTTGCAGATCAACCATGCCAATCTTCTTTGAGTAAGATATGTCTCAGATTTTCAAAGCATCATGTCCCCTTTCCAACACTCAAACAACTACAATGTTTTGTTACATTTTTAGGGAAAAGTCCTGCTGCAAAGCCTCATGCTGGCCTCAAACTTCTGCTGCCCCTCCTACCTCTGTCTCCTAGGATTATAGGAACCTACCGTCACACCTGGCCACAACTGCAATTTCAATTACTCTTCTTAGTAAATTTGAATTGACCTTGAATAAAGTCCTGCTTTATAGTTATCACCCAGTACCATGCCTAGTACTTACTGACATTTAATAAATGCTTGCCAAGAGGATGAGTGAGGAATGAGGGTCTGATGTTTTTGTTTTTCTGTTGCTGCCATAAAACACTGACCAAAGGAACTTAGGAGAGAAAATGGTTTATCTGGCAGGTCATACATAGTCTATCACTGAAGGAAGTCAGGGCAGGAACCTGGAGGCAGAAACATGGGGGGTGCTGTTTACTGACCCCTGCTCTTTGCTTTCATCTACAGCTCAGGCACATCTGCCTGGGTGATGCCACCCACAGTGGGCTGGGACCACCCACATCAACCATCAATCAAGACAATTTCACAGAGTCATACCCACAGGCCAGTCTGATTTAGACAGTTCCCTAACATGTCCCCTCTTCCCAGGTGACTCTAGGTTTTGTCAATTGACAAAAAAATAAAAAGTAACTGGCACATGGCTGTCCACATCAGAACCTTTTTTGTAGTTCTGAGGTCTCTTTCCAGATAGACAAGAAAGCAGTCAGTGGTCTAGAGCAGTTAGACACTGGAGTTTAACAATAAACTCATTTGTGCTGTTGCACTCACTGTCATATTCTTGCTTCTACAATGCCTTTCATCCTGTAAAATGAAAACTCTGTACTCACTCAACAATCTGTCCTTATTCTACTTCTTCACACTGCTAGCAGCCATAATTCTACTCATGTGCCTAGAAATTTGACTCCTTTGTGTAACCCATACCAGAGCTACATAATGTTTATCTTTTGTGACTGCTCATTCTCTCACTCTGACATCAAAGTCCAACAATGTGGAACAATCCTTTTCTATATTATGAGTATGTATTATTCTCATTTGCTAATAAAAAGCTGATTGGCCAGTGTCTGGGCAGGAACAGATTGAGCATGAACACCAGACTGAGAGTATTCTGGGATGAGGAAGGGTGGAGTCAGAGTCACCATCAAACACAGAAAAGTAAGATGAGAATGTCATACTGAGAAAAGGTTCCAAGCCATGTGGCTAAACATAGATAAGAATTATGGTTAATTGAAGTATAAGAGGTAGTTAGTAATAAGCCTGAGCTATTGGCTGAGCATTTATAATTAATATAAGCCTCTGTGTGGTTATTTGGGAAGCACCTGCTGGATATTTGGGAACAGGTGGTTGGGACAGGAAAAATCTGATTAGAGTCCAGCCTTGTGTAATAACATATATCAGAATTTCTTTCCTCTTAATGATTAAATAATAACACATTACATGAATTTACCACATTTTCTTCATCCAATTTCTGCCAGGCTGAGCTCCAGGAATCCAACTGATGGGAGAGAGGAGGGATTCTATAAGTGAGAGACATCAAAATCATGATGGGAAAACATACAGAGACAACCAGCCACACTAGTGGAAACCCATGAACTATGGATCAATAGCTGTGGAACGCCCATGGGACTGGACTAGGTCCTCTGGATATGTGAGACAGCTGTTTAGGCTGAACTTTTTGGGGGGACCCCATGTAGGGGTATTGGGATCTGTCCTTGGTGTATGAGTGGGCTTTTTGGAGGCTAGTACCTAAGGTTTGACACCTCATGCAGCCTTGGTACAGGGGATCAGGTCTTGGACCTGACTCAACTGAATGTACCAGGCTCTGCTGACTCCCTGTGGGAGACCTTGAATTGGAGTAGGTGGGAATGGGGGGTGTGTTTAGGGGTGGGAATAAAAAGGAGGGGGACCTGTGGTTGGTATGTAAAATGAATAGAAAATTTATTAATATTACAAATACATTTTAAACAGGTCACAGCATTAGAAAGATTAAGAACTGCTGACCTAGAAGAAGCTCATACCAGCTGAAGTGCTTCAGAGACACTCACCTGTCAAATTGTCTGCAAAGTTGTGGAGTGAGTTCCATTATTCCTGATCTCACACACCATCACCCATGCTTGGGTAGGCTTTTGTTGATATAATTTCTACCCCTGTAAGTAACCCCAGTATAACCCACTGGTTTACCAAGTTGGACTCTGGTAGTATCATTACCTTGGTCTGTCATTGATTCCCTATCTGGGATGAATGGTCATTAAACATCTTCCCAGGATTAGCCACACACACACACACACACACATACACACACACACACACACACACACACACACACACACACACACTCACATACACTCACACACACATTCTCTGCTTGTCTGTCTGTCTGTCTCTCCTCATTTACTTCAGTATATAATTGGTATTTCTCAGCCTGACATTTCAGGCCTCACAGTGCATGAGCCCAAGAAATACTTTCTGCCTCTTTGGCTGTGGTTCTGCACATCTCTGGATTTCCTGCCCAGTGTAGATGCCCTGATGTCCTCACTTCCGTACTTCACTCTCATGCCTTTTCTGATGATTTTACCTAGAGCATCACCTCTGATCCCCTCCTGCTGGGAAATAAAAGTCATCTCTGAGGCCTGGATTACTCACAGAAGCTATCGATAATGCTCTTTACTTCCATGGTCTCTCTAACTGGTAGCTTTAGTTTGTGCAGAGTGCATAACAAATGTCCTAGACTGAGTGGTTTAAACATCCATCTGTTCTCTTTTTCTGGAGGCTGCAAGTTGAAGGTCAAGGGCCTGGTAGATTGATTTTTTGCTGAAGAGGTGGTTCTTGGTTTTCTGATAATGCTTTGCTGTGCTCTCCATTGACACAAAGATCCCTTGGGTCCTCCATACCCTTTTAAGGGTACTTATACCACTGAAAGCATTCCAAACTTATAATTTCATAATTTAACTTTGATCATCCCTCAACAGTTCACTTCTAAATACAATCACTTTGAAAATTATGAATTAATATATAGAATTAAATAGGATACACATTTTTAGCCTGTAAAGCAACATTTATTGAGTGTTTTTTAATCTCATTTGCTGTTGTTAGAGGGATACATCAGAAAACACTTATGTTCAGTAACAATAACAAAAAATAAAGTAGAGAGTGATAGAGAAATACATCTGACATTGATCTCTGGACTCCAAACATGCATGGGCACAGGGACCTTCACACAGGTACACACACATACACACACACACACACACACACATACACACACACACAGGCAAATGTTTGTTTTAAAATTGAAACAATTAAAAAGAAGTTAGATATCATAGTACATATTTGTAATCCTAACATTCAGGAGGAACAAGCAGGAGGAGTGTGGTTTGAAGGCCAGCTTGGACTACCTTGTGAGTTCCAGGATAACCTCACTTATATGGTAAAACCCTGCCTTAAGAAAATATAAACAGATCAGTTAAAACTCCCACCAACAAATTTGATAGCTTACTTATTTTTGAGAGAGGGTCTCACTGTATGGACTAGGATCAAGTTCAAACTCACAGATATCCTCCTGTCTCAGCTTTCCGTGTGTTGGAATTAAAGGCACATGGCATCACACCCTGTCAATAGCATTTATTTTTAGATGAGTACAAAAATCACATAAAACCTTTAACTAGTATGGTGGTTTGAATAACAATGTCTCTCTCCTCTAGCTAGGCAGTGGTGGTGCATGCCTTTAAACCCAGGACTAGGGAGGCAGAAGCAGGAGGGTCTCTATGAGTTTGAGGTCAGTCTAGTCTATAAAGTGAGTTTCAGAATAGCCAGGACTACACAGAGAAATCTAGTCTCAAGAAGGAGAAGGACATGGAGAAAGAGGAGGAGAAGAAAAAGAAAAAGAAGAAGAGGAAGAAAAAGAAAAAGAAAAAGAAAAAGAAAAAGAAAAAGAAGGTGGTGGTGGTCCCCGATAAGCTCAGATATTTGAATGCTTAGTCATCAGGGAATGACATCATTTGAAAGGATTAGAAGGATTATGAGGTGTGGTCTTGTTGTAGGAAGTGTGTCTCTGGAGGTGGGCTTTGAGGCTGCAAAATTTCATGCCAGGCCTAAGTTCTCTCTCTCTCTCTCTCTCTCTCTCTCTCTCTCTCTCTCTCTCTCTCTCTCCCTTTGTTTCTGTCTCTCTCTCTATTTTTCTCTCTCTGTCTCTGTCTCTCTTCTTCTATTTCACTCTCAGCCTCTGGATCAGAATGTAGCTCTCAATTACTGTTCAAGTGCCATGAGGGCCACCATGCTTCCACTGTGTTTCCCACCATCATGATAATAGACTAAACCTCTGAAACTATAAGCCAGTCCCTAATTAAATGTCTTCTTTAATTGGAGTTGCCTTTCTCATGGTGTGTCTTCACAGCAATAGAACAGTGACTAAGACAACTAGTAAAGCAGTAAGAATTCAATTAGTTTTAATACTAAGGGCACATTTATAGAATAAATATTTTCATAAACTAATATTGATGTAAGCAGGATTATTTGTTATCTTGAGACAAGGTCTTGTGTAGCCCAGGTTGGCTTTGAACTTTACATGTAGCTGAGAATGACCTTGAACTCCTGATACTCCAGCCTCCATCTCCCATGTACCAGGATTAGAAGCATACAACACCAGAATATTAGCCTTGTAGCCAGGATTTTAACCTAAGTCTCTCTCTCCAACCCCTCTCTCTGAGGTTAGTTAATGTATCTGAAGTTTGTCTTACAATGATGCATTACTTTGATCCATACTCAGTTTGGTAAGCTGAGTCATTCTGGACAGAAACAGTCACGATAATTCCTGTCACCAGATAGGTACTGAGAGATGGTCTCTCATATATAGACTTAGAGTGTAATTTAAATGCATCTAAAAGCAACAATGTCCCACACAATATTGATCAAAAAGAGAGCTAAGTCACAAAAGAATTCAAATTGGGGGACCAAAAAGACAATTGTGTATCCATATCATTTTAAACATCAAATCTATTGAAAGAAATTAAAGAAAATGTGGAAAATTCATGTAATGTGTTCTTATTTAACCATTAAGAGGAAAGAAATTCTGATATATGTTAATTACACAAGGCTGGACTGTAACTAGATTTTTCCTGTCCCAACCACCTGTTCCAAAATATTCACCAGGTGCTTCCCAAATAACCACACAGAGGCTTATATTAATTATAAATGCTCAGCCAAAAGCTCAGGCTTATTACTAACTAGCTCTTACACTTAAATTAACCCATAATTCTTATCTATGTTTAGCCACATTGCTTGGAACCTTCTATCAGTATGGCATTCTCATCTTAGTTCTCTGTTTGATGGTGACTCTCTGACTCCACCCTTCCTCTTCCCAGATTACTCCCAGTCTGGTGCTCAAGCTCAATCTGTTCCTGTCCAGACACTGGCCAATCAGCTTTTTATTAGCAAATGAGAATAATAAATACTCATAATATAGAAAAGGATTGTTTCACATTGTTGGACTTTGATGTCAGAGTGAGAGAATGAGCAGTCACAAAAGAAGAACACTGTGTAGTTCCTCTGGTATGGGTTACCCAAATGAGTCAAATTTCTAGGCACATGGAGTAGAATTATGGCTGCTAGCAATGTGAAGAAGTAGAATAAGGAGGGATTGTTGAGTGAGTACAGAGTTTCCATTTTACAGGATGAAAGGCATTGTAGAAGCAAGAATATGACAGTGAGTCCAACAGCACAAATGAGTTTATTGTTAAACTCCAGTGTCTAACTGCTCTAGATCACTGACTGCTTTCTTGGCTATCTGGAAAGAGACCTCAGAACTACAAAAAAGGTTCTGATCAATAGATGTGGACAGCCATGTGCCAGTTGCTTTTTATTTACTGTCAATTGACAAAACCTTGAGTCACCTGGGAAGAGGGGACATGTTAAGGAAATGTCTAAATCAGACTGTCCTGAGGATATGACTCTGTGAAATTGTCTTGATTGATGGTTGATGTGGGTGGTCCCAGCCCACTGTGGGTGGCATCACCCAGGCCGATGTGCCTGAGCTGTAGAAGAAAGCAAAGAGCAGGGGTCAGTAAACAGCATTCCCCCCATGTTCCTGCCTTGAGTTCCTGCCCTGACTTCCTTCAGTGATAGACTATGTATGACCTGCCAGATAAACCATTTTCTCTCCTAAGTTCCTTTTGCTCAGTGTTTTATAGCAGCAACAGAAAAACAAAAACATCAGACCCTCATTCCTCATTCATCCTCTTGGCAAGCATTTATTAAGTGTCTAGTAAGTACTAGGCATGGTACTGGGTGATAACTATAAAGCAGTAGATTATACTAGGTCAATTAAATTTATTAAGAAGAGCAGTTGAAATTGCAGTTGTGTCCTGGTATGAGGGTACATGCCTGTAATCCTAGGAGACAGAGGTGGGAGGGGCATGAGTTTGAGGTCAGCATGAGGCTTTGCAGCAGGACTTTTCTCTAAAAATGTAACAAAACATTGTAGTTGTTTGAGTGGTGGGAAGGGGACACGATATTGTGAAAATTTGAGACACTGTCATAGCCTATTATACTATTAGCAGACAGTATATACACATAGTCCCTTTTATATCCAATAAAAGATAAATCTACATATTATAACATATGTATTGCTTGCAAAATATAAGAAAAACAAGTGTATTTGTTCAATGCAGATGGGATTTGTGGTTTTAATTTTTACTTATTCTTTGAGATTTTTGTACATGTTTATAATGTGTCTTAAGCACTTTCACCCCTCATTCCAACTTCTCCTGGGGTGTCAATAACACCTCCTTTTCAGTCCCATCTTCTCCTATGATATTTATATTATATTCCACTGAATCTAGTCAATGCTGCCCTCATGCCCATGGGTATGAGACCATCAATGGGCCTAGACAACCTTCCAGTGGCCACAGTAAAGAAGGGCACACTCAGGGGATGGAGAGATGGCTCAACAGTTAAGATCACTGACTGCTCTTCCAGAGGACTTGGGTTCAATTCCCAATACCCACATGGCAGCTTACAACTCTCTGTAACTCTGGTTCCAGGGGACCCAACACCCATGGCAAAACATCAAGGCACATAAATAAAAGTAAATAAATTCTTTAAAAAGCAGAAAAGGGATTCTCCCTCCTGCTTCTCAGCTCGGGGTAGAGCTCCATGAGCCCCGCCCTCCTCATGCTGGCATGTCTAACTGGCTTGGTCTTGCAAGGGTGGTCACAGCTGCTTGAGTTCATGTGGGCAGCAGGTCATGTCACCTCCAGAGGACAACATTTCACAGCACTCCTCCCCATCCTCCAGCTCTTCCACTCTTTCTTCTTCCTCTTAGAGATGTATCTTGAGCCTTGTAAGTGAGTTGATAAGATATGCCATGTGCAGCCGAGCACTCAGTCACTTGTTCCCAACATGACAAGCAAGAATGAGTATCTCCATTAACCACTAACCACTACTACAAGCAGCTCCTTCCTTTACCTAAGGTTCCTTGACAAATGTGTGGATGTAAACATGAATACTTAAAAAGAAGTTTAACAACATGACCACTGTAGCTCCTCCAGAGGACCTGAGTTCAGTTCCCAGTACCCACAACAGGCACCTCAAAACGGTCTCTAACTCCAGCTCCAGAGGATTCTCAATGGCTCTGACCTTGGTGGTTCTGATACTTGTGTGTAAATAATAATAGTTTTTAAAAAAATAACAAGATTATGTCATTTTCAGGAAAATGGGCAGAACTGAAGATCATTGTGAAAATAAGTCAGAATCAGAAAGACAAAATTACATGTTTTCTCTTATTTGTTGAATGGATTTGTTTTTAAGGTGTTGAAATTTAAAAGGAGAAGTATTTGGAAAGGAGGAAGGGGACCAGGGTCTAGGGAATGGGGCACAAGAGAGGATAAAGGGGTGTGAATATATATATATGTCTTCATGAAACCTATTATCTTTTTCACTAATATGCACCAATTTATTTTTTTAATATATACTCATTTATTATGTATACAGTGTTCTATCTGCATGTATTCCTGCCGGCCAGAAGAGGGCATAAGATTCCCCTGGAACTGGAGTTACAGGCAGTGAATTCACTGAGGTGGGTGCTGGGAATAGAACCCCAGGACTCTGTAAGAGTAACGAATGCTCTCAATGGCCAATTGGCTCACCATTTGAGATTCAGGTCCCTGTGGCCAGATAAGCACGGTGCAGGATTATGAAACATTGCATCAGCATTCAAGAAGCAAGCAGGAAGTGGGGTCTGGCTATGTCACATCGAGGTTCACTTCCTTTCCCCAGGCTCCACTTCCTATAGGTTCCACTACTTCTAAACAGCACCGCCATTGGGGACCCAAGTGTTTAAACACGTGAGCATGTGGGGCCTATTTCATACTCAAATCACAACATACACTAAATCAGTTGATTTATAGGAGATTAAATTTTTAACTGTTTTTTTTTCTTTGCTAAAATGTGATTTTCTTTGCTGCATTGGGCAATTCTACTTGCCCAGGAAAGATGCCATCACCATGCTTTTGAACTCCAGTCCAGTTTCTATTGCAGTGGAGAAATAGGATGCTACCTACTCAATACATGGACCAAGTTGAAATTTAGGTGGTGTTCAAGGGGCTATTAGATAGTTGTAACATCATTCACATTTACTAGCAGGGGCAATCCTGACAATAAATCTTTCAGAAAGGGTTTATGCATCGAGGTCCTCAAGTCCACTAGGGCAGAGATGATCCCCAAAGGACAGGGTAAATGAAGTCTATAGAGGTCAGGGGACAAAGGTTCCTCGTCTCTGAATGAAGACACGCCCAAAGGCAGCTTTGACTTCCTTGTTCCTCAGGCTGTAGATGAGAGGGTTGAGCATGGGGGTCACAATGGTGTATGACAGGGACACCACTTGCTTGCTCTCAGGAGAGTAGCTGGTTTTGGGGCGCAAATGGATGACCCCAGTTGTGCCGTAAAACAGAATCACCACGATGAGGTGGGAGGCACAGGTGGACAGGGCCTTGTGGCGCCCAGAGGCTGATGGCATCCGAAGGACAGCAGCCAGAATCCTGGTATAGGACATGACTATGAGACAGACAGGAACGATCATAATTAACACTGTGGCCACAAACACACTGGCCTCGAAGACTCTGGTGTCTGCACACACCAAGCTGAGCAGAGGTGCTATGTCACATAAGTAGTGCCTGATGCCTCTTGGCCCACAGAAGGGGAAGTTAAAAAGCCAGATGGTGAAGACCATTGACACTGGGGCCCCTGCAAGCCAGCAGGTGGCGGCAAGCAGGTGGCATAGCTTGAAGCTCATGATGGCGCCATATCGCAGAGGGCTACAAATGGCCAGGAAGCGGTCCCAGGCCATGACTGTGAGGAGCAAACACTCGGATGTGACACAGGACAACACGAGAAGCAGCTGTTAGGGCACAGCTGGTTGGGGACACCCCTCGTCCAGGCCGCAGCAGGGTCACCAGCAGACGGGGAGAAACGTCCAGTGAGAAGCAGATCTCCACCAGCGCCAGCTGGCGCAGGAAGAAGTACATAGGTGCACGCAGGCCTGGGTCCAGGCTGGTGAGAATGAAGATGAGCGTGTTGCCTAGCAACGTGAGCAGGAAGGCGGCCAGGAAGAGCACTGCAAGCATTGGGCGCAGGGAGGGCACGTGTGAGAAGCCCAGCAGCACGAACTCCAGCTCACGTGAGCGGCTCTGATTGGTCCAGGGAGATGATGCCCAGGAAGGTGGCATGGGCTCAGGACTGAAGGGCACGGCGCTAAGGATCTAGGAGGAACCTTTTGGAGTAGCAGAGGGAGGACAAGATGAAGTGAGAATTGTAGCTTGTGAGTCCCATCCTTCCCATTCCCAAGGGGGTGCTTATCCAATCGTAAATCATGTCCAATGCCTTACCGTGGACAGGGCCCTTCTTCAACCCCCCAGTGAGTGTAGGATGAAGCCAGTGACCTCACCCGCTGATCTAGTCTGTCTTTGCCCTTAGGGTTCTCTGTCTTCTGACTCCCCTTTCCCTGGTTGTGAAGAGTCCAGGAATATAGACATATACATATACAAATATAAGCTTAAGAGATAAAAACTGACAGTCATCAGATCTAAAGGTTAACTGCTCACAATGTCTGGTTTATAGCAAACTCCTCTGTCAACAGCCAGGGGTAAACTTTTAACCCCCTTGTCCCTTATAGCCTACAACTGCCTGGACCAAAGCTAACTCTTAATAGTTTCTACATGATGTCCAGCACGCATCCCATACCTGGTCTTTCTATGTGACTCCTAGCATGCACCCTATGCCTGACACTATAAAAGGGGGCCAGTACTCACCTCCATTGCCACAGCCTCACAATTCCAGCATCACTGTGGTCTCTGTTAGCTGAAAAGCTTTTGTGCCCCTAGGTGTTTCATGTTATAAATTTCAACATTTATTTTTCTGAAATAAAGTTTGCTTCTCGTTTAATAGACTTTGGTGGTCTGTCCCCCTTTTTAGAGAGACCCCAGACCCAACAACTAGTGAGTAACTAGCATCTCTCTAAATAGCCCTGGCTGTCTTGAATTCATTATGTAAACCAGGCTGTCCTGGAACTCACAGAGATCCTCCTGCCTCCGGTATGCACCATCATGCCTGTGAGATGGTTCTTGTCTAGCTCTCCATCCTCATCCCCTTCTGCACTTCTAGCTTCCTAGGCTTGCTTTCCAGAACCTTTGCATCTTGGTCCCTGATATTTCCTTCTCACTTCACCACCCTTGTCCCACAGGCGGCCCTGGTGAAACCTGGTGTGTCACAAAACCAAAGCAGAAGGGAACCATGTAAATGTGGGAAATGGGTTTGTGGGGGAGTGGGTAAGAGGAGTGGGATGAATAAGGGAGAGAGTGAGGCAGTAATCAGAATTTTCTAAGTATTATATACATTTCATATATATGAAATTGCTAAAGAAAAATTAAAATTGGGAAAAAAATCATCAGAAGAATAATGGAATGTGGTTGGGTTTGCTTTATTGTTTTTTGTTTGTTTCTTTGGTTGGTTTTAGTTTTTTGTTTATTTGCTTTTTGTTTTGTTTTTTCAAGGCAGCCCTGGATGTCTTGGAACCCACAGTGTAGACCAGGCTGGCCTCAAACTTGCAGAGATCCACTAGTCTCTGCCTCCCATTTTTGGGATGAAAGACATGCACCACCACCACCACTCTGCGGAATTTGTTTTCTTAAAAAGTTAAAATTTCTAAGAAAACACCAGACCAAAGTAAAAAATTTAAAAGATGCCCAGGGAATAAAGACAAGGACTCTGCTAAGACTCCCTGAAGCGAGGGATGACACACCCACCACCAATGCAGACTGAGTCTGTTCCGTTGCCAGTAGAACGTAGGCTGTAAAACTCTCAACGCAACTGATTTTAGGATCCACTAATGGGTCATGAGCTGCAACTTGAAAAAAAAAAACACCAGCAGGAGGGAAAGGCTCACCCAGTAAATTAATAACATGAGAAATTAGAGCATCTGGTTAATAATGGATGTCTTAGAGTGATGGGAAAATCCTTTCCACATATGAGCAGGACAGCCTCCTCGAAGGCCTGCTTTGGAGGGCTTACCTGTGAAGTTGTGATAACAGGATTTCATTTGGAGGCTGCATGTCACAGTACTACTTATTGGAGTACTTAGCATCACTCTTAAAACTCCAACACAGTCAATGCAATCTTTAAAGGAGGTCAGAAGGCTAAGGAGATAATGTCTGATAAAATCCTGCTGCACCAACATGAGGCGCTAAGTTCCGACCCCAAGTCAGACATGGCAGCAGATGCTGTAACCTCAGCACTGGATGGAGGGGCAAAGGTGGGAGGACCATCAGCCATCTAGTCTAGCTGAAATGGTGAGTTTCAAGTTCAGTGAGAGACCCTGTGTTGAAACATAAGGGAAATGATACAGGAAGACACCAAAAATGACCATGGCCTCCACTAGTGCATATCCGTGTATACACACACACACACATACACACACACACACACACACACACACACACACACA